AAAAAAAAAAAAAAAAGAAGGTTGTTCATATCACATAAGGTCACCAAAAAAGGGAGAAACTTCTGGAAAGCAGACTTAAATAGAGGATGCTTTGGTCTCAGTGGACTGTACAAGTAGAATGAAACTTCCTATGATAGCAGATGCTACAGTAGTTATTTGCCACATGCTCAGCTTTTTTTCCTCAGCTTTTTTTTCCTCAGCTCTTTATGTATATTAATTCCTTTAACCTACAAATGCACACACCATTTTTATCTCCATTTTATATATTTATTAATTTTTAAATTTATTTTGGTGGTACTGGAGTTTGAACTCATGGCCTCTTGCTTGTAAGGCAGGCACTCGACCACTTGAACCACTCCACCAGTCTGTTTTGGTGTTGGATATTTTTGAGATAGGGTCTCATGATTGATTATTGGCTCTGGCTGAGTTTGAACCGCAGTCCTCCTGATCTCTACCTCCTTAATAATACTAGTGAGCCACTGGCACCAGCATTTATTTCCGTTTTATAGATGAAAACACTGAGGCACGAGAAGTTAAGCAACTTGTCCTGGGTCACACAGTAAGTTGTCACCCCAGTTAGCCTGGCTGCAGAACCTGCACTCTGATGTTGAGCTTGTGAAATTCTGCACTAGCAGAACCAGGAACCCGTATTAGTGTTCCTTGTGTGGAAAACAATAGGTAGAAGTTCTTCCAGGGGAGAGTCACATTTGTAACGGTGCTGTCTGACCCAGTTCCCACTTTATGGCTGTTAAGATAGTTTTATAAGTTTTTATTCTAATTACAACTGTCAACCCAGCAGTTTATGGAAACCAAATAAATAATCACCTCGTTGGTAGAAAATTCCAGGTCCTTACAGCAGCAATGTGGATCCTGTAACATTTCTTCATTTCATATTTATTTTTTTGTTGTTGTACTGGGGCTTGAATCAGGGTCTTCACCTTGAGCTACACCACCAGCCCTTTTTTGGGTTTTTTCGAGATATCTGGAGCTATTTCCCTGGGCTGGCTTTGAACCGCAGTAATCCTGATCTCTGCCTCCTGAATAGCTAGGATTACAGGCATAAGCCACTGGCTTCATATTTATGGGCTTGCTGCTCTGAGCTGGGTCCTGTAGCAGAAGCTGTGGGGCAGGGAGAGCTTTCTTAGCAGGTAGAGAGCTCACCTCTTACCTTCCTGGGGAGACAATGTGTAAATCCATGCAACAGGGATTCCTTTCATTGCCAAAAGGAGTAATTCAGTTTCCCAGCAGCTAATGTCTGATAAGGACCATGTGGCCCCAGGACCCTTACTCCCGATCTTCAGGCCTTTGGATAACCCCCCTCCCCTTGAGTGAGGGTGAGAACTGTGACTTGCTTCTAGTAGAATCTGGTAAAGATGGCTATATTATTTACAAGATTGTAAAGACAAGCAGGGTGCAGCTGGCTCATGCCTGTAATCCTGGCTACTTGGGAGACTTGAAGTTTGAGGCCAGCCTGGGCAAACAGTTCAAGAAACCCCACCTACTCAAATGGTAGAGAGCCTGCTTTAAAAGCATGAAGTCCTGAGTTCAAACCCTATCCTGAGACAGGTTAGAATTAGGGAAAGTTTGGAACTTATAGAAAAATATTACATCTTAGAATTAACCATGCTCTGGTTTAGGAACAGCCCTCACCTGGCCAGAAACCACCCATTCCCTTCCCACTCATTGATTGTTGGATGGGAATCTCCTTGTTCTTCTCTTCCCATAGGTTATGGGAGGTTTTAAAAGCACCTGAAGAGCAGAAGCATATTCTTTTGGCCTCCAGATTCCACCTACGCTCGCATCGTCCTCCCCTTTGTATTTTCCTTCCCTAACTTTTAATAAACTTAATGTACACCTGTGTGTCCTGCCATGGATTCCTCCTGAGGGACACAAAGAATGTGGAGGTCTACTGATCACAGACTCCGCTATCAACCAACAACAGTCCCATCCCACCCACCCGCCCCCCAAAAATTGTAAGAATAGTTTTGTGGGATACCTCCTCCCTGGCTGGCTTTGTAGAAGCAAGTTGCCACCAGATGCCAGTGGCTCACTCCTGTAACTAGCTACTCAGGAGGCAGGGATCAGGAGGATCCATGTTCAAAGCCAGCCAGCCCTGGCAAATAGTTCCAGAGACCCTATCTCAAAAAAACTCATTATAAAAAAGGGCTGGCGGAGTGCTTAAGGTGTGATCCCTGAGTTCAAATCTAGTAATAATAAATAAATAATAAATAAATTAATTAATTAATAATAAATAAATAAATAAATAAAAGCAAGCTGCCATATTGTGAGTTGCCTATGGAGAGAGACCAGCTAACACCAAATAAGAAACAAGCCAGGGGGGAGAAAAACAAAGAAACAACAGAAAAAACAAAACAAAAAACAAAGGCTGACAGCCTGCATAGAACTGAATTCTGCTACCAACCACACGAGTTTGGAAGGGGATTCTTTCTCAGTTGATCTTCAGATGAGACCTCGGCCCTGGCCTCCCCTCAGTTGCAGCCTTGCAGGACCCAGCTAAGCTATGCCCAGACTCCTGGGAAAAACTGAGTTAGTAGATGTATATTGTTTAACCTGATGTGCTTGACGGGGTATTGTTACGCAGCAACAGAGACCTAATTCAGGACCTGTTAAGTGAAAAGTCCTGCATGGGGCTGGAAATAGTTACAAAAATGGGTGAGAGAAGAAGCACTTTAGGAGCTTCCTGGCAGACAAGGTGAGAAAGGAAACACAGGTTTTACTATTTGACAAAAGGAAACTAATGTTTCTAAAGAAGTAAAAGCTCGTGATTCTAGGAGGAATTTGTTGTGCGGACAGTGTCAGTGTAGAATCTATGAGCAGAGCATTCCAATCCATAAATCCTCCAGCCACCACTACAAGGTCGCTCTTGGAGATCACTCTTCTCCCTGTCTTCCTTCCGGCCTGGCTTCCTGCCACATCATGTGCTCCTTCTGATGTCTCTTCTCTCTTCTCTGCCCGTGACTCCTACATTTCAAGAACCCGCAGGGACCCGTTACCTCTCCCGTGAAGGCCTCTTTAATTCCCAAGCAGATCAGCCACTCTCTTCTGAGCTCCCAGGTCTGTTAGCAGGGGCATCACATAAGTTGTTGCTCCCTAAGTTTTTATGAGCACTTGACAAGTGCCAGGCTTCCTGTTAGATGTAAGAGATACACTCACAAATTTAGCATGAGGCTGCCCTTGCGTGTCATGGGCCAGGTCTCTATCCTGGGAGTACAGCTCGACACACAGCAGCTGGGGAGCCTGGCTGTTGGTGAAACGAATGGTTGCGATGGGCAGATATTCCTCTGGTATCATGAGTTCCTGACTTCCTGGCAGTTTTCGGGCATTGTGCGAATTTAAAACCTGTCCTTCCATCTCCAGCACTACAAGACAAAGCAAAAAAAAAAAAAAAAAAAAAAGGCCCAAGTAGCTGGATCTGCTGGCTAGACTGATGGAGCGATGTCCATGTGAGTCGGACATAAGTTTGTGGAGACCAAGTGTCATCAGGATGACTCAGTTTCACCTGTCATCGCTCTGCAGCTTTTTCAAATTGAATGGAATTAACCAGTGGCTTCGGCTGCAGTTTAAGGTTGGTAGTGGCTTATGGTGGTCAGGTCTCCAAAGTGTAGAAGGAGAGGGGACTGTCCTCTGCCAGCGATCAGAGATTTACATATCTAATTCATGTGGGGGGCTTTAGCAGCAAGCTAAGAAGAAAGGAGGCCCTTTCTTCTGTGGTGCTCAGCACCACAGCCCTGGAGTTGATAACGTGGGCGGTTCAATTCCTTTGTCACTAACATCAGCCCCACTTGACAAGAACTCACGACATCCTGCCCACGCTGCTGAGAGCTTGGCAGGGTCCGAGGGCCTGGAGGGTGAAGACTGTCATCTGGCCGTAGGCCTGGGGACAGCCCACTCCGTCCTCCCACCTGCTTTCCTGGCCATCCCAGACAAATGTGTGTCCAGTTTCCTGTACAGCCTCTTTCCCCAAGGAAGGGGAGGGATGTCCCCTTGCCCCCAGCTGTGATGTCCTGGCAGCCTTTCCTGGGCCACACTCCACAACTTCACCCTGCTGCATCCTGGATGATTCTCCTTGCTGGGGCCCATCCCTGCACCTGGGGCTTCCACTAACTCTACTCAGAATTTCTCCATCTCTCAAAGTTCTCCATGGAGAACCACCCTACCTCCAGGCACTGAGGAGGCCTCCAGGATCCTTCTCGGTGTCTGACAAGGTTCCTGGAAGCTGCCTGGAGTTTGCTCCAGTCCCTGGAACTTGTTTACTACAGCTCACAGCCTTTCCCTGGGGCTGGCGGGAGCCCTGTCCCCAGCGTGAGGAAACCTGTTTATGTTTGTTTCTCTGTCCTGGGCAGAGCTAACACTTCTTTTTAATTGAAAGTGCAGGGAAATGTCTCCAGGACGGCCAGAAAACTGCTCCTCTGTTCTGAATCTAGAATGTACAGCATTCTTGGGAACACACCCTTATCTCATCTTTCTCTGGACCCCCCACTCTGTGTCCTCTCTTCATGCTCACTTTTCTGTGTGTTCCATGAGATTTGGTGACACCAACTTTGGCCTGACTTCTAAGTCCAGTTCCTAGCATGACTCTGGTTCCCCTTCTCCTCCTTGCCAGGAGGTTCTAGAAGGTGTGCCTGCTGCACTCTGAACTCTTTAGGGCCTGCCTCTGCCCAGCCCCAGCCCAGGACATGGTTCCAAGGGACCACCACAGCCCAACTCTCTAGTCTCAGCTCCAACAGGCAGTTTCTAGCTATGGTGTGGGATTAATTAATGCTGCAGGAAAGGAAGGGAGGGAGGGAAAGAAAAAAAATTCTCTTGAAAAAAATCATCATGTATAGCCAGGCACTGGTGACTCATGCCTGTAATCCTAGCTACTCAGGAGATGGAGAAGATCAGGAAAATAGTGGTTCAAAGCTAGCCCCAGGCAAATAGTTCAGTTCAAGATAATCTATCTAAAAAAACAAAAAAACAACAACAACACAAAAAGGGCTGGCAGAGTGGCTCAAGTGGTAGGGTGCCTGCCTAGGAAGCATGAGGCCTGAGTTCAAACCCCAGTGCTGCCAAAAATAATAATTATTCACATGAGGGGGAAAAAAATTGAAAAAGCAAACACAAACAAAATAATCCACAAACTTCTCAGACACCGTTCCTCCTCAGCTCCCCTCTGAGGATGGGTGTTTGGAGTGTTTGTTTGCCAACTTTTCAGGCACAGTTACTCCTACCATGGCAGATTTTGACATGGGTGACCATGGAGTTGAGAGGAATGCGCCAGGTGGTTATAGATGAGAGTCAGCTCCAGCTCACATGGTGGCATTTGTCCCGCCTTCAACCGCAACACGTGAGTGAGCTCACACCTGCACCTCTCCGCCTCCCCTGCACATAATCAACCTCCAAGTAACAAGGCCGAGCGTGGCACCAAACCCCCCTGCTCCTCAGAAGCCTGGACTGGGGGGGTCCCTCGACCATCATTGAGAAATATTCGGCAGTAAACCAAGAAGGGCCGTCAGGTAAATGATGGGGTATGCCATTTAAGAACCTAATGGTGGGGTGCCATTTTTTAAAATAAAACTACGGCTCACGCCTGTAATCCTAGCTACTCAGGAGGCAGAGATCAGGAGGATCAGGGTTTGAAGTCAGCCCAGGCACATAGTTCTCAAGACCCTATCTCGAAAAAAATCCTTCACCAAAAAAAAAGGGGTGGGGGTCCTGGTGAGTGGCTCAAGGTGTAGGCCCTGAGTTCAAACCCCAGTACTGCAGAAAAACAACAACAACAAAAAAGCCCTATGGTTTGAGTAAAGCTTGAAGAAACAATGTTCTAATTTCTAATCCAATAATTAGGAGTTAAATGAGCCCTTAATTCAGGACAGGGTTGAAAGTGTTCTACCAGGAAGAAAACAAAACTCCACCTAGCTCTCTTTAAAACTTCAGATCAATTTCCATAACATCCAAAATAATAATAATAATAATAATTCCCAGCCAGAGAAAATTCTGGAATATATACCACACTCAGGAGTACAGCCATGAGCTTCCTCAGTACTCATTATTTTTTATTTCTTTTATTCATATGTGCATACAAGGCTTGGGTCATTTCTCCCCCTTCCCCCACCCCCTCTCTTTCCCCTGCTCCCTTTCCACCCCACCCCCTCGCTTCCAGGCAGAAACTATTTTGCCCTTATTTCTAATTTTGTTGTAGAGAGAGTATAAGCAATAACAGGAAGGGACAAGGGTTTTTGCTGGTTGAGATAAGGATAGCTATACAGGGAGTTGACTCACATTGATTTCCTATACGTATGTGTTACATTCTAAATTAATTCTTCTCACACTAACCTTTTCTCTAGTTCCTGGTCCCCTTCTCCTATTGGCTCTGTCGCTTTAAAGTTTCTGCATTAGTTCCTTTGCACTGAGGACATCAAATGCCATCTTGGTTTTTTTTGGGTTTCTTGCCTTCCTCATACCTCCCTTGTATGATCTCGCCTCACCATGTGATCAAAGCCCAATCCCCTTGTTGTGTTTGCCCTTGATCTAATGTCCACATATGAGGGAGAACATACGATTTTTGGTCTTCTGGGCCAGGCTAACCTCACTCAGAATGATGTTCTCCAATTCCATCCATTTACCTGCAAATGATACGATTTCATTCTTCTTCATGGCTGAGTAGTATTCCATTGTGTATAGATACCACATTTTCTTAATCCAGTCATCGATAGTGGGGCATCTTGGCTGTTTCCATAACTTGGCTATTGTGAATAGTGCCACAATAAACATGGGTGTGCAGGTGCCTCTGGAGTAACTTGTGTCACAGTCTTCTGGGTATATCCCCAAGAGTGGTATTGCTGGATCATATGGTAGATCGATGTCCAGCTTTTTAAGTAGCCTCCAAATTTTTTTCCAGAGTGGTTGTACTAGTTTATATTCCCACCAACAGTGTAAGAGGGTTCCTTTTTCCCCCGCATCCTTGCCAACACCTGTTGTTGGTGGTGTTGCTGATGATGGCTATTCTAACAGGGGTGAGGTGGAATCTTAGTGTGGTTTTAATTTGCATTTCCTTTATTGCTAGAGATGGTGAGCATTTTTTCATGTGTTTTCTGGCCATTTGAATTTCTTCTTTTGAGAAAGTTCTGTTTAGTTCACTTGCCCATTTCTTTATTGGTTCATTAGTTTTGGGAGAATTTAGTTTTTAAGTTCCCTATATATTCTGGTTATCAGTCCTTTGTCTGATGTGTAGCTGGCAAATATTTTCTCCCACTCTGTGGGTGTTCTCTTCAGTTTAGAGACCATTTCTTTTGATGAACAGAAGCTTTTTAGTTTTATGAGGTCCCAATTATCTATGCTATCTCTTAGTTTCTGAGCTGCTGGGGTTCCATTGAGAAAGTTCTTGCCTATACCTACTAACTCCAGAGTATTTCCTACTCTTTCCTGTACCAACTTTAGAGTTTGGGGTCTGACTCAGTACTCATTAGAAGCCATGGTCAGCCCAGGTCAGACTTTCGCCATGTTACGGGGCTTTGTGGCCATCCAGGATCCCTCTAAGCTCAGAGCTCCATTAGGAGACTTCTGTTCTTTTAACGGATGAGCACTTGAGAAGAGGAATTCTCTTCCTGGGTTGCCGGGTGACTTCCGCTGTAGTTGGCGTCTCACCACCTCCTGGCATCTCTATCAGGCATCTGGAGCGTCCCACCATCTTTGTCAAAAGGACAGTGAGGGCTGATATCCACCTGGTCTGAGTTATTCCCTGGGAAGCTGCTTCTAATAGACATTGAAATGGAGTTGTTTTTTGGTTTTGTTTTTGGTGGGATCGGGGTTTGAACTCAGGGACTTGTGCTTGCTAAGCAGAAGCTCTACCACTTGAACCATGCCCCAGCATGAACTGAAGCTTTGTATACCCTTTAGATGGAGGAGATGACCTGCCATCTAAAGGGTATACAAAGAGGCTTCACTCTAGGCTGACGTCTGCAAATGTCTCATCTCCTGGTCTCAGTCCTGCAAACTGTCAAATAAGCAGGCTGATGTTAGCATTAGAGCCCATAAACCATTGGAACTAGGGGTGCACTTGCTTGCTCAGCGTGTGTGAAGGCCTGGCATCTGTGCCCAGCAAAAACACATGCACGTGTGTGTCCCCCCACCCCCCACACACCAAAAACATTGGTTTATGGGCAAGGGATAGCTATTTGTTGGTGGTGGTGGTGGGACTGGGGTTTGTACACAGGGCTTCATGCTTGCAAAGCAGGCACTGTACTGCTTGATCCACATCTCCAGTCCATTTTGCTCTGTTTATTTTGGAAATGGAGTTTCGTAAAATATTTGCCCCAAATATTGTCCTCAAACCGAGATCCAATCTCAGCCTCCCAGGTAGCTGGGATTACAGGCATAAGCCACTGGCACCTGGCTGTGATAGCTTCTAAAATACTCATCTCAGGTCTAGAATTGAACCAAAGATCATTCCAAATGCTCAAATGTGCAGATATAAGACCCTTCCGCTTCCCATATTCCCTTGTTAAGTGATGGGACATTGTGGGTGACTGCCTTCAGTACCTGGGCTCTGCTTGAAGCAGGTGGCTGTCGCCCCCTGGGAAGCAATCCCCCAGGCTCCATCTTCACGTTCTTGTGCTAAGGATTGGTAATGAGTACATGAGAATATACAAGATACCCATCGGAAGATTTGTACAAAGGTCAAGGGCCTGTCAGTTTAGAACCAGACAGCTAAGAAATCGCTTGGGCCACCGTGTATACATAGCAACAGCACTTCCTTTTGTCAAGCAGCTGCAAGGGTAGAAATGGGTCAGTATGAATGTCAGTTACCCCAAAACTGTCCTGTGTTGAAGGGTTCAAGATAATGAACCCAGGGCTGGGGTGCAGTTCAGTGCAGCCAACCACTTGCTTCACATAAGGCCCTGGGTATAAAACCTAGAAAGGAAGGGACATGATTTCTAAGACACAGCTGGAAAGAAAAGAAGGCTTCCCTGGTAAGAGAAGGCTGGTCTTTGCATTACTCCTGCATCCTGCCCCATTCCAGGGTACAGTTTTCAGCTCCCTGGAAGGTAGGTTTGCAAACAGTCTTAGGAGCAGGAAAAAATATGCACATTTGTGCTTTGGAGCTGGAGACTAAATAATTCTAGAATGGCTAGTGTCCAGGGTTAGACTTGCCTCATTCATTTAGGCCAAAGGGCAGTAACACAGAGCCCTTCGTTGCTCCCACCAGAAAATCAAGGCGCCTCCCTGGGCATTCTGTGGGAAGGGCAGAGCGTTTCTGGGGCTGGTGCCAGTGAAACTGAATGTGGACAGAGGACAGTGTGCAGTCAGAGAGAGTCCTGTGGCACAGAAGGTCATGGGTAGGCTTGCTGTTCAAGGTCAAAATGGAGGAAAGGGACTATTGCATAGGCATTCAGGAACAGATGAGAAAAAAATATATTTTTTGGAGGTACTAGGATTTGAACTTAGGACACTGAGTTTGCTAGGCAGGTGCTCTGCCACTTAAGCCACATCTCCAGCCCTTTTTACTTATTTTGGAAATAGAGTCTTGTGTGTATGTACGTGTGTATGTGTGTGTATGTGTGTATGTGTGTGTATGTGTGTATGTGTGTGTATGTGTGTGTGTATGTGTGTGTGTGTTTACCTCGGCCAGCCCAGACCAAACTCTTCCTATTTTAACTTCCCCACCATAGCTGGGATGATAGGCTTCCAACCGCACACCCAGCTTTTCCCCTTCAGGTGGGTCTAGAGAACACTTTTTTTGCCCAGGCTGGCCGAGAACCTCAGTCTTCCCAATCTCAGCCTCTGGAGTAGCTGGGATTACAGTCATGAGACAATTCTGGATGTTCTCAGCATGTAGAAAAAGATAGTTGATGGGTTTGTTACTTGTCCTGATCTGATTACACATTGTATGTACCTACTGAAATACCACATTAGACCCCAATTATCTGTCAGTTTAATACTTTTAGGGGGCTGGAGGTGCAGCTCAAGTGGTAGAGTGCCTGCCTAGTAAGCATGAAGCCCTGAGTTCAAAACCTAGTACCACCTACAAAAATAAATAAATAAAAATTTTAGGGCTAGAAATGTAGCTTAG